GCAGAGCCCGGGGCCAGCGCTGGCGCGCCTAGAGGGCCGAGAGTTCGAGTTCCTCATGCGGCAGACCAGCGTCACCATCGGCCGCAACTCGTCGCAGGGCTCGGTGGACCTGAGCATGGGCCTGTCGAGTTTCATCTCGCGGCGCCACCTGCAGCTCAGCTTCCAGGAGCCGCACTTCTACCTGCGCTGCCTCGGCAAGAACGGCGTCTTCGTGGACGGGGCCTTCCAGCGGCGCGGCGCGCCCGCCCTGCAGCTGCCCAAGCAGTGAGTCCCGCCCCGCCCCGCCCCGCCGGACCCCCGGGGTCGTAGCCGCTGCGACACCGTTCGCCTTGAACCCCCAGGGCCGGCCCTGAGCCCCCGGCACCACCCCAACCCTTCCCGTTTTGAACCCCGGAGACCATCCTCGACGTCGACCCCCACTGGGCCAGAACCTCTGGGGTTAGCCCCGCTGCGACCCCGCTAGGCCTGAATCTCGCGGATCACCCCGGACCCCAATTCCTCCAGTCCTGAATCCCCCCAGGATCATCCCAGATACCGAATCCCTGGGGTTAACTCCCGCTGTGACCCCACCAGGCCCGTATCCCCAGGGTTCCCCCCGAGATCACCCTGGCTATGACCCTGCCCAATCTGAATCCCCGGGGGCCCCCATACTGGCCTGAACCTCAGGGTTACCCCCACGCCCACCCCATCAGGCCTGAATCCTTGGGGTCACCCCCCACACACACACTTCCACCTAGTCTGAACTCCCAGAGTCGACCCCTGACCCCATCAGGACTGAACCTCTGGGACCACCCCTGACGGTATTCAGCCTGAGTCCCCAGCATCAGCCCGACCCCAGTTACCCCCAGGTCTCAACCACTGTGATCAACCTCAACCTCCACTTGTCTTAGTCTCTGTGGTTACTCTGGACCCTTGACAACCTAGATCCCCAGGTACACTCCTGCCAGTGTCACCCCAGCTGAGCCTGGGTCTTGAGGTCACTCTCCACGCCCTCCCGGTCTTGACTTCAGGATAATACCTCTAGGCCCCAGGTCTGGATCACCCATATCACCCTTCCCCACCCCAGACCGTGATTGTCCTGGAGGGGATAGCCTGGTACCAGTGGTCCCTGGATGGGATCCCCCACCCCATAATCCCTGTGTTAGGGGCAGGTCTGAAGCCAAGGGTCAGCTGGGCAGGGAGGGGCCAGGACAGGAAATGAGTGCCTCAGTGTAACCTGAGGTCAGAGGTAGTAGGGAATGGGAGGCCTTAGCCACCAGAACTGGGACCCTTGTTTCAGAGTCCTTTTAGACCACTGACCATCTGATTGGTGCACTGCCCCTTCCCTGCCCTGCAGTTCCCCACCCCATGTGCTGCCCTCAGCCCTTGGGGACTTCAGGGGACCTCGGGGACTTGAAGTCTGTGCTCTAGGAGAAAGCCTGGCAGATTACTCACTTCCTCTGCTACACTTTCTTTTTCTATTCCGTAATTGCCTCCAACCCCTCACTAGTGTGTGTACCTTTCAGTGCCGGTTGTGTACACCCAAGAGTCGTCTGTCTGTCTCATAACACATTTAGGAGCACTGGAATCCAGGGAGTCTTTGCTGGACTAACTCCCAGGCCCTGCCTTTCTTTCTTTAAACTGCTCCCCTTTTAGGGTCGGGCATGTTGTAGACACTTTATTGAATGATTTTCAACATCAACAGTGACTCACCCCAACTTAGGGTGTGAGAGGGAAAGTACACCTTCATTTTCCAAACCTGAAAGGTGTGCACTTATAAAGTCAGGACTTGGCAGATAACAGTTCTTTTCCTCTCTCATAACCTACACACTGGGTCCATTGCCATGTTAAGGGTGTCCCAGGCCCAGACTCCTCCAGTGAGAAAATGACAGGTAAACACTGCTCTCCACGTCCCCCAGGCCCCTAGAGGCCTGTCTCTGTACCTTCATGTAGCTCGGATTCTACAGCCCTCTTTTCAGGTTTTCCTGCCCTAGCCACCCCTCACCTGGTGCCCAGTTACCGGATCTTGAATGAGGTGTTCATACTCGTGTTTTCTCCGTAACATGGGAAAGTTTCAACCCACAGGGTCCTCCTGGTCATCTCCCAAATTGGCCAATTCAAGCCTATTATTTTTGAAAGTTTATTGGTGCACACGGTGCCTCAAAATCTGTACTTCAAGGAATTGGTATCTCAGTGGGTGTGTTTGGGAGCGCTGGCTTAGCTGTCTGAAAATGTGTGGCCACTGAGTTTGTGCTTTAGACGTGCACCAAGTACTGCGCCCCACTGTGCCGTCTGTATTTATTTGATTTCAACTGTACTTCTGAGCACCATCCGTGTTAGCAGAGACGCAAATGGTAGAACAGAACCAGGGTGCAGGAGGAAAACTAGTAAGCGGATGCCCGTGTCTGCCCTCCTAGAGAAAAGACATTTGTTCTGCAAACCGCTGAAGCCTGTTAACAATAGTTGAACAGTTCCAGCGGGTGCACATTCTCTTTTCCTTTAGGAAGCTAAGTAATCGCGTATATGGAACAGGATGTTGTGAACTTCTGTTTAAGAGTTAGGTCAGGTTTCTTAGGACGATCACATTGAAAATAATCAAGAAATTTCAGTGAATTCAGAGCAAGGAAGTGGGTTGTGAACATTTTCGTCGCTCTGAATGGGAAATGCATTACTGACTAAAGTCACCGCAACACTTACCATGTCTGTTCCCTAGGGCTTTGGTGTCCACTTTTGCCATTAACATTTGAAGCTATGAATTTCTTTGCCTTAGCTGCGAGTTCTCTCTCGTGGCATTGGAGTTTTGTTGACTTGAACATGTGTGAATTCATTGGACGGAATGGTTTTGTATTGCTGGTTTTGCATTGTATTGATTCCCAAAGCAGTCTTGTCCTTAGCCTCCTCTTTCCCCATCCTTAGTACAGGTGACAGCCACCTGGGTGACATTTGCATGCACTCCCCTGTGCATCTCCCACTTGGGAAGAAAATCAGACTTCACCCCCAATTGTTACTAGAAGTATAACTTTTCCAATCTTCCACATTTTAAATTATTGGTGGTGGCGGGGGAAAACAACCTGTGACACTGCTCAGAGCTGAACTTGGTGCACCGCAGAGTCTGACCCTGTGGTAGAAAATCACACCAGAGCTGCTAGGCCCAAAGGAGCATGCGTCAGCTCTGATTCAGTGGCTTCTTCAGGTGGGCTTGGCAAGACTTCAGGTGGGCTTGGCAGGACTGCATGTGCCTCAGTGGTAGCACTTTTTCTAGCCCCTAAGCTCTCCTTGAGGCTCGGGCTGAGAATCTGTCACCTTTAATTAGCCTCGGTGCAGGCACTGGCAAGCAGTAACAGCAACTCACTTATACTTGTTGAATGAACAAATCGATGACTAAGTGGACTTGTAGTTTCTATAGGGGCAAAACATTGTTATAGATTTGGCTTTGTTTCCTGAAATGTGGCAGTCTTCTTAGGTTACATTGTGTGTGTGTGTGTGTGTGTGTAGTCTTTGACACCACTTAATTCAGAATTTGAATTAGATATGACTGGTGAACTTGAAATACCCTTTCACGGCCCTTCTTTGCTCTTCCTCCTCCTCTGCAGTCCTTTCCCCAGTCCCTTTGTAGGAAGTCTTGAGCACTTGAATAGTTTCAAAACTTCCCTTTGCGGTAGCTTTGAGTGGCAAGATTTATGAGACTTTTTTTGACTTTTTTTTTTATTATTATTAACTTTATACTTGTCTTTATTGTCCAAATTTTCTGTAAGGAACATGGTTACTTTCTAAAAACATTCTTTTTTTGTTACGGAAAATTTCAAACATAAAAACAGAGTAGTGGAGTTTCACAGACCCATCACCTCGTGTCCACAGTCACCATCTTATGGCCACCCTTTTCCATCTGCATCCCCGTTCTGCCTTCCGCCTCCCGGAGTTACTTAGAAGCAAATCACAGATGTCATATCACTAAAATTGAAGGATTCTTTTTTTAAAAAAAAACTTAACCACAGCGTCATTGTCACACCTGAGAATTTAGTTCCCTGCTGTCATCTCTCCACTCCGGGTTCAGGTTTCCCTCACTTCGAGGGGATTTTCTTCCTCCTGTGCCTTTTCTTGAATTGAAATCCCAAGGAGGTTCTGCTGGGGGCTTGGTGGCTGGGCCTCCTGGATCTCTCAATCTGCAGGCTCCATGTCACCCTCTTTTTTTCCTGCTTCAGCTTATCCATGGAAGGAAGAGGGTCATCTGTCATGTGCAAGTTTCCACAGCTCCTCTTACAAATTGGATTCCTGTGGCATCCGCCCCGGTCCCCTGTCATTCCTGTAAATTGACTGTTGGATCTGGAGAGCTGATCAAACTCCAGTTTGTTTGTTTGTTTATTTATTTATTGCCCAAACTGCATGGCAGGTCTTGCCATGTGTGTCTGCCAGGCAGCGAAAATGTTCTGTTGGGCTCCTTTTTGTAACATTAGCAGCTTTGGATAGTTGTTGCCTGAGTCCCTTAATTTATTCTCTCCTGTCCTCTCATGGCTCCTGCCAGCCGCCAGCCCTAGGTGCTTAGCAGTGCCGACGCGTTCTACCTGCTGAAAAGGCTGCGGTGAGTGGCGGGTGTTATGGATCCCAGCTCCTGCACTTGTGCCGTGATAAAAAGCAATTAGTTGTAACCACCAGAGTGTTTTACTACACAAATAATTATTTTAGACCCAATAAAAACATATATAACATAGTTTCTCGTTGCTGTTTTGACTGGCCAATTGAAATATGTTCAATTAGTTTTTAACCATCATGCACTAGTTATCTGTACGACATGGTTATTTTCAAATTAATTGGAAAATGCCATAGACTTGACAAAGACCGCAAGTTTGTCTGAGTGTCCATTGTGTAGCATCCAAGGACAGTCACGGCACTCCTTCTTCAGCACTGCCTCCCCGGAGGGAGCTGCTGGGTCCCAGCTGGTTGGCCAGGAATGGCGTCTGTGCTGAGCTGAGTTTTGCACTTGGGACCAGAGAGTGTCAGATCCACCACTTTCCAGTGGTCAGAGCCAGAAGCCGTGAGGACCAGGGTTGTGCTGTTCTCGTCTCCACGCAGAGGGGGCCTGGAGTGAAGATGGGCAGAGCCACGTGGGGAGGGGTGGGCTTGTGGTAGCTGTAAGGGCAGCAGAAGCCACGTAAGGGACCGGACAGTCATCCAGCCTGGCTTACTGGACCTGGGGCCACAGTGGGGCAGATCCAGGTGAAAGACCATCTGAGGAGGAAGGTCCTCCCCAGTGACTGGATAGGGGGAGGAGGGCTCAGCCCGAGGGT